TACAAAGCAAGATTTATTTGAGAGAGAGAGAGTGAGAGAGTGAGAGAGAATAGGAGGGGGCTGCAGGGGAGGATAAGACCTGGGAACATTTTTATTTAAAAGCCTATTGAGGAATACCAGTGTTTCCAAGATATATTCTTCCTTCATATTTTTGTGGATGATAGAGGAGCATTAAATGTTTGGTGGTTGAAACACAATGGCATCTCATGAGCATAAATTCCCATGATGTTGAAATGTGAACGATGTTTCTGTGAACTTTTAATGATATTTCTTAGAATAGGCTGTGAACTTTTTTATTAAAAGATTTATTTTTGTTTTTATTGGAAAGTCAGATATACAGAGAGAAGGAGAGCCAGAGAGGAAGATCTTCCGTCTGCTGATTGACTCCTCAAGTGGCTGCAGTGGCTGGAGCTAAGCTGATCTGAAGCCAGAATCCTGGAACCTCCACCTAGTCTCACACATGGGTGCATGGTTCCAAGGCTTTGGGCCGTCCTCGACTGCTTTCCCAGGCCACAAGCAAGGATAAGGATGGGAAGTGGAACAGCCAGAGCATGAACTGGCGCCTACATGAGATCCTGGTAATTGTGAGGCAAGGATGTAGCCACTGAGCCATCATGCTGGGCCCTAATACTATCCCTTTGACTCTGTTAAAACAACAGTCACTAAACGTTCATGATGTTGCTGGAGGAAAAAAAATACACCAAGTTTTTTTTTTTTTAAACTATAGCAAGGTTATAGTTTCTGCCTCAGCTGGGACTTCAGTAATGCCTAAAGTCATCATTTTTCCTTTGTGTTTTAGACACAGCCCAAATTATGTTCTTCTTACCCTTTCCTTTCTTTCTCAGCACATGACATTATCTCTTACTTGATAGAAAATAAAGACTATTAAGTCTTAAGTATCATTGCCAACCAAATTAGTGGAAATGTTGTTCTGGAGTCCCCAAATCAAGTCCATGTTCTCATCACCCAGACAGCCATGCACTAGCTTCAGGGAGGTGGAAGAAAGGAGGTATTTATTGCAAAGAGCAAGGAGCTGGGCAGCTATTGCTTACTCCCTGGGCTCCCAGAGGAGTTGGAGGTGAATGTTCTTAAAGATTGAAATTGGTGCTGTGTGGTATGTGATCAGCTCATGTCCAAGTTCCTGGTTGGTTAGTGGTGCTTGCAATTTTGCTTTGATTGTTCAGAGATGCTGCGATCTTAAGGGAATTTATAATGGCCAGTAGGGCTTTGGTTAGTGTGAAGGTAATGTGAAGGTAGCAGCTAAGTTCTGCCCAAACTTAGAATTCCCCTAAACAAACCCTCTAGGCAGTGTTGGCCATCAGTGTTCTTACCTATTAGAGAAGCAAATGACTCCTTGAATCTGGTGGTGAGGACCTCATGAGGCCGGCTGCATCACTGCTTCAAGTCAGTGAATTCCTTTTGATGAAGGACAGACTAGGACACCCAAGAGGCTGGGCATTGCTTTTATAAGATAGGACTTTTTTTTTTTTTAAGATTTATTTATTTTTATTGCAAAGTCAGATATACAGAGATGAGGAGAGACAGAAAGGAAGATCTTCCATCTGATGATTGACTCCCCAAGTAGTCGCAATGGCTGAGATGGGCCAATCCGAAGCCAGGAGCCAGGATCCAGGGGCTTCCTCCAGGTCTCCCACACAGGTACAGGGTTCTAAGGCTTGGGCCATGCTTGACTGCTTTCCCAGGTATGAGCAGGGAGCTGGATGGGAAGTGGAGCTGCCGGGATTAGAACTGGTGCCCATATGGGATCCTGGGGCGAGTTCAAGGCAAGGACTTTAGCTGCTAGCACTATTATAGGACTTTCTTTTCAATATCTTTCTCTTGTTTCCTTGCTCTTGTTTTGTTGCTTCTGCCCCATCAAATCTCAGGGGGAATAAGGACACGCCTTGCCTTGCTCCTCTGACAGATTTCTCCATCTTTCTTCACCGTCTCAGCTTCTCCCCTGACTTCCCAGGCCCTTGCTGCTCTATCAGCTGAGCTCCTGCTGATAGGTCAGTGTTTGTTTTCTCCATTATGTTTGTTCTCCATCCCTTGCTCTCCTTGGTATAATCGTACTCAAGTTTCTCATCCTAAAACAAACTGCAGCCGGGTAGGCGTTTGGTGCAGTGGTGAAGATGCTGCTTGGCACACTGGCATCTCACATGGAGAACCCTGGTTTGGTTCCAGCTCAGCTCTTAGTTCTGGTTTCCTGCTAATGCACACCTGTGGTGGTGGTGATGGCTCAAGTCATTGAGTGCTGTGGCTCACGTGGGAACCCCGGGTTGCCAGCTCCCCAGACCTGGCTGTTGCAGGAATTTGGAGAGTGAACTGGTAGGTGAGATCTCTCTCTCTCACACACACTGTTTCTGTCTCTCTGTGTCTATCTCTCTGTCTCTCAATCACATATACTACCCAACACACACATTATCTTTCACATAAAATGCAAAAGAAAACCAAGCAAATTGAATCTCTCTATTCTGGCTGCTTTAAATTCTCTATTTCAAGCATCAGGATTCCATTTCTGAAAAGATTTCTCTGCTACATTTGGTTCCCAGATGTCAGTCTGGGAATTTTTCTTTAGCCGTCACCCAAGTCAAAGCATTCTGGGTGACACTGAGTCCGGTTGGTTAGGACTTGATCCTCCCACTGCTCTCTTTGCTCCTTGATGGGCTAGGTGTGGTTTGTATATAGTGCTTTTCTGGTCCACATTCAGCCAAGGTCACCAATGGTGTTCCTAATTGGAAAATACAATGGACACTCTTCAAGTTCTAACTTCTTCATGATAAATTAACTATTAAAATTCTGTTGTTCAGATTGGTCTCCAACTCAAGTTTTTACCTCTCATTAAACCTGTGATGTTTTAATCCTTTCATTTGATGGCCGATCCCTTGGGAAACCTGAAGAAAGCTATAAGCTTATCTTTTAATTGCATTTTCCCCTGAAAATGCCACTCATCTGAAATTAGTACCTGCACACATTGAACGTTCTTCAGCTTCCTGACTTGAGTTGGCCTCCATGGAGTGTGCCTTTTAAAAGGTTGACAGCAGATGAATGTTTGTGGAACTGCTGAAAGCACTTCCTCACTATCCTCTTCTGTGTCCACATTCTGTCATCCACAAGCTGGCATCCTCTAACTTATTTCACATTTGGCCATCACTGCTTCCGTATCTATATCCCCAGCTGGACTCTGACATTTCCCAAGTGGGGCTTGTTCTACGGATAGCTGTAGTCCTGACATTTGAGAAAGTACTAACTGCAGACTAGATATTTAGTAAGTGTTGAATAAATGGGACTCTGATATTATTTGACTTGTTTAAGGCCACTCAGTCATTGATTATGAACTTAAGGCTGAGTCTGTGTTTTCTTCCATCTGAGTCTCATTTTCTAGATATTTTACATTTTGTATTTATAGGAGAACATTTCAAAATGTTCTGGGGGGCAGGCATTGAACATATACCACCCCTCGAGTCCTGCCTATGGTTTTAATCCCTAAATGCAACATAGCTAGGGATAGGCCGGGCTAAAGCAGGAGCCTAGAACTCCAGTGGGTGGCACTGATCCATGTGGCTGAGCCATCTCCTGCAGCCTCCCATGTGCATTAGCAGGAAGGGGATCAGAAACGGAGGCAGGGCTCACTCCCATAAATTCTGATATGGAATGCAGATATACAAGCGGTGGTTTTATGCACTGTTCCACGATGCCTACCCTTGTCATTATTGTTGATGTTAGCATTCCAAATATTGGTTCAATCAACATCAGGTACTGGCCTGTAGTCTGTCGCCATCCTGATTCCCATCCCTCTCCCCCAAATGCGAGGATGTAGGAAGTCCGTCACAAGTGCCCATTCCTGATTTTGTTACAATTGTTTCTAGAATGAAAATATATTTATTCAGTTTCAGGATTTGCTATTAGTTTTCATCTCTGAATTTTCTGTTTCAGTAATAATTCAGTTGCTTGCATTATAATTGACTTCTCTAGCTTTAGTACTTTTCCCCCAGTTTATTCTGAAACTCCAATCATTAAACACTCTTGCCTTTTATCATGGGAAAGCTATACGTGGATGAAGGCTTTCATGGACATGAGCGATCTGAACAGTTTTCTCTCCTTCCTTGAAAGATGGAGCCAAAGTCGCATCAGGGTTTGAACATGATGATTTCCATTGTTCTTGTGTCATACATCCTCCTCTGAGACAGTCCAGTTTTTTATTAAAGCAAATACAGCTGTGTGCTGTCTCTGTTGGATTCATTTAAAACTTTGTATCTTCCCCAAATTGCAGAACTTGTTTCAGCACCCCATTAAATTTGTTGTCTAGGAATTTTACTTGTTTTTCATAAACAAGTAAAAAATGACAGTTGTGCCATGTGAGCAAAAAGCAAATGTTCCTAGGTTATTTAAATTAGACTAAAATATGCCAGTGCCATGGTGACAGCAGTATTAAATATGAATTTTCTTTTCTTGGGGCTTTTCAAACAGCTAATTTTTAAAAAAAGAACTCCTTGTTATTCAAGTGGATAACTTTCTTTGTGCTGCCTCTTCCTTTTTAAATGGCAGATGCTGTTCAGTCTTTCAACAGCTTTCAGTATCTGATCCCAAATCTGAAGGGAGTTGGCTTATGAACCTCTTCCTGAATGTTTTGGTAGGATTTGGGTATATAGGTAAATTCTGTGGGAACTAGCCAATCATTTTACCATCATTTTCATATAACACGACTTGTGTGGAATTTTCATTAGAGCATTTTGAAAATGCCACATAAAAATGTTGGATGAAAAGAATTGAATGTGGAATATTGGTTTTTGTGGTTATAGCAGTGAGTTGTAAGAGAGGAGCTGGGAGAGCAGTGGCGCACCTGGCACCCGGTGTGGCAACTGTGGGGACTGAGAAAGTCGTTGTCAGAGAACCTTAGTGAACTGAAGGGCTAGGTCATGTGACCCTAAGGGTTTTGACCATTGGACAGCTTTAACATCATGGTTCTACTGGTTACAATATGATATTTGTAATTTCAGAGCAATAAGCTAGAAGAGAAGAAACGACTTCAAGAAAAGCTTAGAAGAGAAGCCTACAGAGAACATCAGCAGCGGTAAGTTTATGTTTGTCAGAACTTTGTATCCATATGGGCATCTTGTTCACTCAGCTTCCTGTGGGTTGTGATTCTCTTACAAAACCATGTGATATCAGATTATTGCATGCTACATCGCTCATGTAATTGAACTTATTACCATATAAGCAGGGGTCTAATGTTACAGAATATTGGTACTCACCACAATATTTTCTGCAGTCAGTTGATTTGCAATAAGACTATGAAATTTGAGAGATTTCCCATTATAACTAACTGAAGGTTGGGTGCTTTGGTAATCCAACGTGTTTCTGATTATTTTGATTTCCAACATATCAATTTAAGGAAGAGGTGTTTGAAATAACATACCCAAGCAGAATCTAAACTAGGAGTTTAGCTAATGTACTGAGGAGGACTACAATGCATTTGTAGTTTTCCTGTTTTCTTTTAGTGAATGATTGAGCATATATTAATTCTAATAAAATTGTTTTTGACATTTTTTATCAGAGTAGGTTTGAATTTACAAAACAGATTGTGAGGTAGCTGTATTTTTTTCTTGACAAGAATTGAGAAATTATTTAGTAGTTATGGTTAAAATTTCCAATTGGTGGTCATAAACCACAGTGACTTTCCAGTGCAATTTCTGAATGAGAACAGCCAATATATGTGGGGAAATTACTATATAGTTTATAAAGCAGATAAGTCTGTTATGCAGGCTTTAAAGATAAGCTTATGCCTTCACTTTCAACAACTAGGCTATTTAAACACTGATTAAAAGAAGGCAAACCAAACAATCCTGTTTCTGGCCCTGCATTAATTCCACAGATGGTAGAATTAGAACCAAACTGATCTGTGTGTGGTGTTCTAGAACAATTCCCAAGTTGTGATATTGTGCAAACTACTCAGTCTCTTCAAATATCAGCTTGTTACCATTTTCATTTTGAAAATTGCGATGATGCTATCTGTCTAATAGGATATTTGTAAGGATTGAAGAAAATATGTGAATGAAATAAAAGTGTTAGAGTATTATGGGGATTTGAAATGATGCTTCTTGCAAACGTCCTTGTTGAGTGAGATCTTTCTTTTTGTGAAGACTCTCTATAGAGTTCTGATCCCACCAGAACTAGTAATTGGTCTACTTTCATGTGGCGTGTTCGCTAACTGCCTTCTATTCTCTCTTTCCAAAGTGGTCTCTCACTTAAAATTTAAGATGATTCAGGTGTTGGGGTGGCCATTGTTGTGGTAGCCTACAACACATCTCTCCCTCAAGGACAACATCCTCTAGTTTTCTTATATCGTTGATGTTCTGCCTCTATTCTAAGTGCCATTTTCTTGCTTTAACACTCATAGAGAAGAACAGAAAAAGAAGTTTCTTAATCCCCTAGTTTTCTCCTTAGCAAATTAGGGACTGGTCCTCAGCCGTTCCAGACCAGAAAATGAGAGCGAGATGCAACGATATAATGGAGGCATTGGTGGTGTGTTCGCTCTTGGCTAAAATAAGCACTACTCTCAGTTTAGCCTCAGAATCCATAGACTCGTCTCTTCTCTCTCTTCTTCTAAGGCAGTCATGGGATTGAGGAGACTAATGGAAAGTGAAACGCTGGGAGAAATTGATACCTTGTAGAGATACAGGAGGGCTATTGAGTGTTAATGTACTGCCACCTCCTCCTTCATGTGCATACAGTGAATGAGAATGTCTCCTTGGGGAGTTGAGAGAAATAAAGTTTGAGGACCTAAGGAGTATGGTCCAAATAAGAACAATGCAATTGCCCTGTGGCATCCCAGTTTTACAATGGAAACGAGAAGACCTGTGTACCAGCGTACCAGTAGAGGGTCTTCAGTACAGTACTAGGAGGTTGAACAGGTTCATTCTTTGGGAAGTTTCTTTAAGATGGTGAGGTGAAGGGTAAGAGGCTCTTGTGGTTTTCAGAGGTTGGGGGGTGGTGCTGCCCAGCCTCCTTTCTTTCATGGTTTCACAGCTTCTTAAGTTTATGTTTCATTAAATACCAAAGATCAAGTGTTCTTTTTGTGTAAAGGAAAAAACAAGTTTTGCCCTCAGCCACCTTGCATGCCAGTAGTGGAGTTGAATTCAATTACATGCACGTTTCACTCTTGCTCTTTCTTCTACTTAACATGAAAGTCCCAGTTAGCCAGGAAAAAGAGAAGTTGGCTAAAAATGAGAAGTATCTCAAATCAATTTTTAAAGCCTATTGAGAAACACAAGGAGAGGTATATATGCAAGTTCCTTTTCATTTATAAAAAAGTACTGTGTTTTGAATTACTTTTGAAATTAAAAGATCAGGAACTCATGAAATGAATATCTGTTACGTAGCTCAAAGTCAGAAAGGAACTTAGAAAAGACATATCCTGTGTATAACAAATTATTCTCACATCTTCTGAGAACCAGTTAAGGGTAATACAATGTCTAAGAAAGCCGTTGGAATTTTAACAGCACAAAGATTTCATCATCTAACCAGCTGCTCACCTGCCACCCCCAAAGCAGACTCTCCCCAAAGCTTTCCAATGAAGGCGTATAAATAGAAACAGAAATAAGAACTTTTTTTTTTCAAATCAGTTAGTAGCTTTCTAGTTTCTGTGTGCTGTGATGTGTGGTTCAAATAGCAGGCCAAGAATGATGCATTTTTCTGCAGAGGAGAAACCATGAACTTGAGCAGATGGTAAATCCAAGTTGCTGGAGAAAAAGCTCAAGACAGCAACCTGTGACACCACCCCGAGTCTCTTAATGTGCTCTTCCTCAACACCTTGTTCCTGACTTCCTTCATTTGCTTCTGATTATTTTTAGTGTTGTCAATTATTTAGCTAACAGGCAGAAAACTAGGCTTTTATTGACATCCAAAGGGACTCTCCTGAGTGTAATAATGAAGGCAGTTTATTGAATGCCTGTGAGGTTGCTTTCTAATTGTATGCATTAATCTGCCCATGCAAGCTGGCTGAAAATACACAAGCAGATTGCACATACAGATGGAGCACACAGGATGGTTTTTATGAAAAGACCTCTGGAATGTACTTCCGCGGTACTGTCTTTTCCTTAAAAATCGAATGACTGTGACTATTTCAATTGGCAGCCGAGAGCAGACCAGATTAATGGTGCATTAAGTCTGCCACTTTGACTGGGGACAGACTCCAATTTCACAATTCAGATTTAGTTCTAGGGTTCTTCAGCTTGAAAGAAGAGGGTAGAAATGAGCATTTAGCTTTGTGTGGTCTTCATTTGTCTCTTTCATTATTTACTACTTATCAAAATTCACACACAATTCTTTTTTCAGGATAGTTAATATGACTTGCAGATGTGAAGAGCTGAAGTAACAAACTTTTAAAATTCTTTGTTAGTTTTAAAAATGTGTATTTATTTATGAGTGGAAGATGAAGAGGGAGAGAGAAAAATATCTTCCATATGCTGGTTCACACCCCTAATGTCTGTAACAGCCTGGATTGGGCCATGTTGAAGCCAGGAGCAGCAAATTCAGTCCAGGTCTCCCATTTGGATATGAGGTCCCTGACTACTTAAACATCACCTGCTGCCTCTCAGGGTATACATTAGAGGAAGCAGAAGTGGGGCTTGAACTCACGTAATCCCATATGGGCAGTGGGTATCCCACATGGTGTCTTAACCCATGTACCAAACACTTGACCCCATAAGTTTTGGTATAAAAGAGAGGAGATTATGATTTAGATTATGTAAGGCATTGAATAATATCAGTGTTAACATTTATAATTGTAAATGGCAATTTATTTATCTGTTTTGGATAAATGCTGGGACAGATCGGAATTTTGAGCCTATTTACGCAGTAAGAAGTTTGAGCGTAAGGTGGGAGTGATGTAGTAAGTACACTTTGTGTACAGGTATTAGTGGAAGCAGTATTCTCAAGAATATTCTGGACATATAAGAATTGGCAACATTTTCAATATTAAAAATATGAATTCAAATTTAATACTGATGTGATATAATAGATTATACATGAAAAAGCTTAAGATGTGTACATGCTTGGCTTTTAAATCAAAGTGAAAAGTACTTTATAATTAAGAAACTGGAGTGCTGGATTCAATGTCAGTAATATCATAGACTTTTTCCTTTTGAGATCAACTCTCTTAGGGATGTATCATCTAGATTTTATGTGCAGGAGTTTGAGTCAAAGTCATGGAGATGCATAAGGGATGCAACGAAATCAAGATCTTCAGTTTGGGGGATTAAGGAACATGGGTGATTTAGTAGCATGAGATACTGTGAAGGTCAGGAATTTCTGGGTAGCATGAGGGTCATGAGCACTGTAGCATCATGGGCAACTTTGGAGAGAACTATTAAAAAAGACAGATCAACTCAGAGAGAAAGACCTGAGCAAAGTTGACTTTTGTTTCTTTCTAGCAAGATCTAAATTTTGCAAGATAACTAAAGAAAGACTGGCATGTGTCTGCTCTCTAGCCAGTCATCGTGTGCGAGTGACATCATCTTCCCAGTCCCAACACTGAGTTAGCATCCAAAATTAATCTCAATGTGATATTGGTGGTATCTCCCAACCTCTCCTGAATTCGCTTGTCAGTAATATTTCCAACGTTGCTTCCAGAGCACCCCAGGCTTAGTTTTTAACACCTCAGCTGGAAAAGTTTTTGGAACCAAGCCCATTCCAAAACAGGACCTTTTTGCTTCTAGACTGCTAAGCTCTAATAAGCTCAGTCTGGTGATGGTATATTAGGAACATCTCTTCCTTTCTGTCATTGGAAACATGCATCTCTTTTATTTCCATTTGAATAATAGTGTGGTTATTTCCTTGGAGGCTCATCTTCATTCGTTTTCGTTTCCTTAGCTAAGAATCCAGGCAGGTCTGCTGAATATGCACACTTTAGGCCCCAAGTTTGCCTTCTAATATGTTCACAAACTTCAAATGCCCTTCATGGGAGTTTCCAAAAGACACTTCAGGGCTCAATTGATCCCTTATCCATATGGTAGGCTTAAATCCAACCTTGAATTTTAAGATTTAGGTAAGGTGAATAGAAAGTCAACCTAT